TGCCTAAGGCGGGACTAGAACTCACTGTCTCCTGGGGATTGGCCCAAAGTCACCCAGCTGTCTTTCATGCCTAAGGCGGGACTAGAACTCACCGTCTCCTGGTGATTGGCCCAAAGTCACCCAGCCAGCTTTTATGCCTACGGCAGGACTAGAACTCACCATCTCCTGGGGATTGGCCCAAAGTCACCCAGTTGGCTTTCATGCCTAAGGCGGGACTAGAACTCACTCTTGTCAACAAGGGGGGAAGGAAAAGGCCAAATGAAGACCAGAAGCACATTCCACTCTTATCTTGTGGTGATTTTAGCCTAGGCTACTGGATCTTCTGCCTCCCTGAAAATCTTTCATTGGAGAGTGTGATTGATGACACCTAGCCCATGATTGTAGAATCTGATTTATGACACACCCAGAGAGAGTGGGGGAGAAACAGGGTCGTAGGTGATAGTTAATTACATGTCTCAGAGTTGGCTTCTTATGGGTTAGTGCCGGACATGTTGCTAATAAATCTTCTGGGATTCTTTTGAAGCTTGGCTCAAGGCTCATGATTAAATTAGGGCAATCGTCGGAACCCTGACAACCGTCTCGTGGCGATTAGCCCAAAGTCACCCGGCTGTCTTTCATGTCGAAATGAATCGTTAAAACTGCTGGAAGTTCATATCCAGCATCAACTGGCATTTTTGGCTGGTCCAACTATTCCTCCTTTGCCTTCCCTTCCCGCTTCCTTCCTTCCCCCTCCCACCCCCCACGTACCTGTGACTGTGGTTGAATTTCTGTACGAGACGCCCACCGTCTGCAAGCCGGATCTGGATGTTGGTGGTGGGCTCCGTCTCGTCGATGGTGATCAGGGAACGGGCTTTGGCTTCATTTTCCGCCTGCTGGGAAGGTGAGCTGGCGCCCATCACTTGCGGGGAAGTGCTAGGGGCAAAGCGGAGAGAACAGGAGCGTGAGGGTAAGTCGGCTTTTTGAGTCCTTTGCAGGAAAGGTCAGCTGGAAACCTCCAACCTCTCTGGATGTCCCCTAACGGCCACTGATGAATTAAAGCTTCTTTGATGGGTTGCGAGGAAAAAAGAACTATTTTTATTACTTTATTTCTTTGGATCCTGCCTTCTATTATTTTTACAAGTAGCTCGAGGGGGCGACCACGTCCAACAGACCTTCCTCCTCCTATTTTCCCCACTGCAATAACCCTGTGAGGTAGGTTGGGCTGAGAGGGTATCCAAAGTCACCCAGCTGGCTTTCATGCCTAAGGCGGGACTAGGACTCCCAGTCTCCTGGCGATTGGCCCAAAGTCACCCAGATGGTTTTCATGGTTGTGGTAGGACTAGAACTCCCAGTCTCCTAGTGATTGGCCCAAAGTCACCTAGCCGGCTTTCATGCCTACGACGGGACTAGAACTCACCATCTCCTGGCGATTGGCCCAAAGTCACCCAGATGGTTTTCCTGGCTGTGCTAGGACTAGAACTCACTGTCTCCTAGTGCTTGACAGTCAGTCAGCTGGCTTTCATGTTTAAGGTGGGACTAGAACTCCCAGTCTCCTAGTGATTGGCCCAGAGTCAGTCAGCTGGCTTACATGTCTAAGGCAGGACTAGAACTCCCAGTCTCCTGGCGATTGGCCCAAAGTCACCCCAAAGGCTTTCATGCCTAAGGCGGGACTAGTGTCAGCATTCCAGAAAACCTCTATTCCAACAAAAAAACTCCAAGACAGCCACCGTCTCCAAGGTTCTTTTTATTAGAGCAGTAGACTGGCATATCTGGAAAATCCAGAAAGTTCCGGGTTTCCTTGCAATAAGTAAAAACTACAAACCCAGCCCCTGCACCCATCATGGCATCACATGCCCCAATCACCCTCCCTCCCAACTTGAGACATCCTCTCACCCAGGTGCAGAAAGAACATGACCTTGACTTAGAAGAAAAATGCTATTATGTCTAACCACATACACTCCAAGGAATTCCCCCCTCCCATTATTTTCCCAGGCTCAAGAATGTGGCAGTGTGGAAGCGCCTGGTGCTAATATGGCTTCCAAAGCTGTTAACTAGAACTCACTGTCTCTTGGTGATTGGCCCAAAGTCACCCAGCCGGCTTTCATGCCTAAGGCGGGACTAGAACTCACTGTTTCCTGGTGATTGGCCCAAAGTCACCCAGCTGGCTTTCACACCTAAGGTGGGACTAACTAAAACTCACTGTCTCCTGACTACGCCAAACATGCAAGAAGTGATCACATGAAGTGTGTGTGTGTGTGTGTGTGTGTGTGTGTGCGTGTGTTGTAAATATGACCCAATTGCCAAGTGCCTGACTTTTGATCACACAACCCTGCAACGGTTGTGTGAAAAACATCACTTTTTTTCAGTGCCATTGTAACTTTGATCGTTTGTACCGTCACTAAGCCAATGGTTGTAAGTCAAGGACTACCTGTGTACTACGGAGACTTTGATCCCTGCAGCTTTTAATGGAGCAAAGCTCCCTAAGGGGGAAAAAAAACCTTTTAAACCGACGTAGCTCAAATGGACTAACTTACAGAAAAGCGTAAGCGAAATCCCGTGGAATTGAAATCTAGCCAAGGTCATAAAAACAGTTTTATGAGATAAACGTTATCATAAAGCAGTTTACGACATAACCAAAAAATGCCATAAAACTTTTCCTTTGCTGATGTGCGACTGAGCTGCGCAGTTCAATGTAGATTATATTCAAGGCAGAGACGCCTCTGAATAAATACCATTTTTTCCTGTGAAGGAAGGAAAGGCAGTCCTCCACTTACAACAGTTTAGTGTCTGTTCAAAGTTACGAAGTCACGTAATACCCTTTTTGCATCCAGCTGCAACACTCGTAATTGTGAAATAAGGTCCTAAGTCACTTCTTTCAGTGCCCTTGTAACTATGAATAGCCACTAAAGAAACAGCTGTAAATCAAGGACTACCTTTATTGTTATTTAGGACAGGGGTCGCCAACCTTTTGGACCTCAGGGACCACCAAACTCATCATTTTAAATCCCAGGGACCACTAACTGGTTCTGTGGGTGTGGCCTAATTTGTGGGTGTGGCTTGGTGATCATGTGACTGGCTGGGCATGGCTTGTATGTAAATATTATAAATATTTATATAAATATTGAATTTTTTTATTTTTTAAAAAAGAGCAACTTTTACCCCAAAATCAGGCAAAGCAAGCGGATTGAGTTGCTCACAGAATCACAGAATCACTCAGAGATCTATCTATCTGCCATTGGCTAGCTCAGTCTGTCACATAAAATTTGCTTGCAAGCAAATTCATAAAATTAACTCACAACACACCATGTATGCAAATATTGTTTTTTTTTTTTTTGCATAAAAAGAGCACCTTTTACCTAAAATCAGGCAAAAGCAGAAGGCAGATTGAGTTGCTCACAGAATCACAGATTCATTCAGAGATCTATCTATCTGCCCTCGGCTAGCTCAGTCTGTCACATAATATTTGGTTGCCGTAAGTCTGCACTGAATAATAGAAACTTCAATCCTAAGGGAGCTTCGGCTGTACAAGAAAGCAAGAAATCCAACCATTTCCTGCTTCCTAGCTAATCTAAATCTCACAGCTGATGGTCGGAAAAATAGCAATTTAGCAGGTAAGTCTGCCGGGTAAGGAGTGAGTGGGCGGGTAGGGTTCCCGCGGGCCATGTTGGCGGAGCAGCCTTGTGTTTCTGCGCAGCCTGGATAAATTGCTTTTGGCGGGGGGCTACTCTGGGGGTGAGATTTCTCTGCGGCCCACCAACATTTTCTCAGGGCCCACCGGTTGGTGACCGCTGATTTAGGATACTGTCAGCTACCCAGTGTCAACTCATAAAATATTCCTATGCCTGTTTTAGTAGTTTGCCATTAAAAAAAGAGAGGGTTGGGAGGAAGGAAATCCGGAAGAGCCATGCAGCAGTTTGGAAGTGGAATTACATTCCAACTCTTATCTTTAAAAGATTGTAGCTAACCTACCAGAGCGTTTGCCCAGGAATCTATTTCATTGGAGAATGTGATTGATGACACCCAGCCCCTTAAGGTGCTCAATTGGAGGATCTGGTAAATGAGACACCCAGGGGGGAGGGGGGAAGTGGGTCCCAGGGAGTCGTTTCCCCCCCCGCCCAAATGACGTAGGCCGGAGTTGGCTCCATGCAGGGCAGGGCCAGTCGGTTGCCTCTAATGAATCCTTCGAAGTTTTTTGAAGTTTGTCTCGAGAATCATGATTGAATTAGGGCGACTGCTGGAATCCTGCCACCCAACTGGTAGCAGTTGGGAGGAAGGAGTGACCCAAGGAATCACCAAACCACTTTATTGGACAATGTGATCTGTGACATTTGGGGAGGGAAACTTTTAAGTAGGCTAAAACTGTGGGAAACTTTGGAGTTGGTTTTCACCAGCTGTGCCAATATGATGTATCCAATAAACATGTTCTTTGGGGGAAAAAATGGGCAGCGTATAAATTTAATAAATAAAACACAGCTAGTCCTTGACGTACGTTTTGTTTAGTGACCATTCAAAGTTACGACGGCACAAACAAATGTGACTTATGACCGTTTCTTACAGTTATGACTGTTGCAGCGTCCCCCTGGTTATGGGATCAAAATTAAAAATGCTTGGTGGCTGGTTCATATTTACAACGGTTGCAGTGTCCAAGGGTCAGGTGATCATTTTTTTTTTGCAGCAGTCACGCCCTCGTCGGAGCCTGACTCTGCAGAGGGAGATCGAGGGGGCGACTCCATTGGCTTGGGAGGAAAATGGGGAGGAGCAGGCTGAGTGAGGCCAGAGCCTTTCAGGATTCGGAGGAAAGAGGGCAGGATGACCAAGAGAGGCAAAGCAGTGAATATGAGAGCTCAGGCAATGAGCAAGGACCGCCCCCTCCTGATCCAAGAGCATGGAGAGTGGAAGGAAGGTGAGAACAGCACAGGCTGACCCAACTACTTGGGAGGTGAGCGTCCCGCCCCTCTTCACACCAGGGGACAGAGGAGACTTAAGGAGACGCTGTGGGGAGGGGCATTTGTCAGGAACAAACGCAGAACTCATGGAGCGTTAAGTGCCGATGTTTGAAGTTTCCTGGGTTACTTAGTGTTGTGTGTCCGCCGGCGGCTGGCGGAGCCGGCAGGAGAGTCGGACAGTAGTGAGGAGGTTGGGGAGGAACCTGGGCCAGTTTTGGAGGCTGAGGAAGGCTCGGGACGAGGGCTCTGCGTCAGAGGCAGAGATGGGGGCCAGGGCAGGCCGGCAGTCATCAGCTACCTTCAGGCTCGGACAGCAGTGAGGCGGGGGTGCTTCTGGAATCGGTTCCCAGCCTGCGTATGCGCAGAGCTGCCCAAAGGAAGGCACAATTAAGAACTCAGGGTCGACGTGGGAGTAAGGCCACAGGTGGGTGATGAGCGGCCCCTCCCATCAGGATTAAAAGAGAAGCAAAAGGGGAGGGGGCTTTTGCAGGAAGCAACTTGCTTGTTCGTTCGGCCGTTTATCCGTCCCAGCCTCGTGGAAATTTGTCTGTATAACCCAGCCCTTCCCTGCCAGCACTGAGAGTGGAACTATTTACCGGGCAGCGTTCCAGGATTGATAAAAGGTCTGAGCTCATTAGTCTACCTTCGCAAGACTGTTTGGCCAAGCCGCTGACCAACTGTGAATGAAATAAATTCACATTAATGTAATAAAAGAGATTTTTTGCCTTGCTCCTTTTGCTTCCTGGCCTCCTCGAATTGCCCTGCTGGTTTTCTTGCTTTGCAGTTGTGGTGTTCACAGCGTTGGGCTGGACTATTTGCAGCCAGAGGCTGCTTGAGGGGTGTGTGTGTGTGTGTGTGTGTGTGTGTGAGAGAGAGAGAGAGAGAGAGAGAGAGAGAGATCACTTTGCTCTGGGACTTGCTGGAAATGTGGGAGCGTTTTGGAGAAATTTAGAGCAATAAAGGGACGGTTTGAGCTGCCAGCTGCTTGTGTTACCTCTGTGCCATGCGGCCTTCTGACAAGCACAGTCAATATAACAGATAATCAGAGTTGGAAGGGACCTCATAGGTCATCTAGTCCAACCCCCTGCCCAAGCAGGAGACCCTACACCATTTCTGACAGATGGCAGTCCAATCTCTTTCTTGAAAGCCTCAAGGGATGACGCTCCCACAACTTCTGAGAGCAACTTCTGTTCCATGGGTGGATTGTTCTCACTGTCAGGCTGAATTCACTTAACTTATCAACAGCAGTGATTCAATTAATGACTGTGGCAAGGGAGGTCGTAAAATGGGGGCAAAAACTCAAGTAATGGATGCTTCGCTTGACGACAGAAACTTTGGGCTCGATTTTATGTTTTATGTTGTATGTTTTATGTGGTTTTGTTTGTTGTTAAAATAATTTTTCTTTTATTTTATTTTTTTAAAAAGAAACTTTGGGCTCGATTGTGGTTGTACGTCGAGGACTGCTCCTAAATACCCCACTTGCTCACTTACCTGCCTAGCTTCTGGCCTTCTCCGGTGAAAGCCTTGAAGGTACCCCTGGCCTTCATGAAATCCTCGTCGCGGTGGTCCTCTAGATCCAGGTTGACATGCCCGCCACGCGCCAACCGACGGAGCTCGGCGGGGACTTCTCTAGAAGGGAAGGAAAAAGAAGGAAGGCTGCTCTCAGGAGACGTCCACTGACTGCCCTTTCCCGAACGAAGGAAGACGCAACCTGGGGCTCTCCCTGTTTCTATTTTCAGGACAAACGGAGTCCCGAGAAGGTGTCATGTCCCTGTCGGAGTCTGAATCCGAGGAGGAAGACGGACAGCTGACAGGGAGCGGGAGGGTGGCTCCGGTGGCTGTGGAGGAAACTGGGGAAGGGCAAAGTCCAGCTGGACAGAGCAGGGGAGAGGTAAGAACAAGGGAAAGGGAGTTCGGAGGAAGAGCCAGGCCCACCACCGCTTCATCCTAAGGCAAGCAAGAAGGAATGGAGAAGGGAGCAACGTGGGTTGCGTGGCTTACGGGGGAGGAAAGGGACCTGATTCCCTTCTTTAGCCACAGCTGGGAAGAGTTTAAAAGAGATGCATGCTGACTGCAACAGGCTGCTGGGAGCGAATAAAGGGACTCTTATTGATTATCTGACTGTGTTGCCTTTGTGCCACGCCCCAGGTCATCCTAGAAGGTCAGGTCTGAGCAGCTGGTGAGTGCCAGCTGTAGGGGTGAAACTTCCCCAGGACAGAAAGTATTACCCCCGACGGATGGACTCCAGGAACTGAGAGTTGGAGGGATCTTGGTAGCTCCTCAGCTCGCCACTGTCTAAGCTAAATCCGCTTTTCCACAGCTTCAGGACTACGTGGACCTATGAAAGAGAGACAGATGGATTAGCAACAGCAACAGCGCTTAAGACTTATATGCCACCTCACAGTGTTTTTACGGCTCTCTCTGAGTGGTTTACAGAGTCAGCACATTGTCCCTAACCATCTAGGTCCGCGTTTTACCGACCTCAGAAGGAAAGAACCTGGAGTCAACCTTGAGGTAAGAATCAAATTCCTGATAGTTGGCAGAATTAGCCTACAATACTGCATTTTAGCCACAGTGCCACCATGGCAAGGAAGGGAGAGAGGGAGGGGGGGAGGGAAAAAGCACTTAAGACTTATATACTGCTTTACAGTGCTTCACAGCCGTCTCTAAGCGGTTTAGAGTCAGCCTCTTGCCCCCAATGATCTGGGCCCTCATTTTACTGACCTTGAAAGGATGGCCGAGTCAGCGGAAGGAAGGAAGGAAGGAAAAGATGAATGGAAGGAAAGGAAGGAAGGAAAAGATGGATGGAAGGAAAGGAAAGGAGGGAGGGAGGGAGGAGGGAAGGAAAGAGGGAGGGAGGAAGGAAGGAAAGGAGGGAAAAGGAAGAGAGGGCAATAGCACTTGGACTTATATACCGCTTCACAGTGCTTCACAGCCGTCTCTAAGCGGTTTAGAGTCAGCCTCTTGCCTCCAATGATCTTGGTCCTCATTTTACCAACCTCGGAAGGATGGAAAGCTGAGTCAACTTTGAGTCAGTGAGGACCAAACTCTTGGCAGTTGGCAGAATTAGCCTGCAATTCTGTGTCTAATTGATCGATTGAGAACATTTGTATGGCCATCAGCCACTCTAGGTGATGGAGGGAGGGGGAGAGAAAGAGAGAGAGAGAGAGAGAGAGAGAGAGAGAGAGAGAGAGAGAGAGAGAGAGA